CGTATTGCACTGGCCTTCAGCAAGCACCACACCTGGTCACAGCTGGGGACGGTCTGTCCTATCATTTAGGGGGACACAGCCCAGGGCCTCATTGTGGGCGGTCTGTTCTCCCTGGCCATTGCCCTGCTCCCCTTCACTGCCACCCCAAAATGGGCCAGAAATGTCCCAGTCTTAGAGTGAGCAGGACTGAATCCATGTTGGGAGTTAAATGGTACAGGCTCTAAAAGATTTTAAAATAATAGTTTTTTGTTTTTTGCTTTTGTTTTTTCCCCCTCGTCATAGGTTCCTCTGAGTTCCCTCTTTTCCCATGGTCATTTGATATTTTCAACCTTGGCTATGAGGCAAGATGACATCATTTAGGTAAGTGTAAAGTTGTTTTCCAGCCAGCCTGGAGCTGCAGACGTGCACGTACCAACCAGACTCTGGGACCACAGCAAGGACAGAGCAGAAACCGGGTGGCGTCTGGGCGAGACCTTGCCCCTGGCTTCTGGCATGAAGCCCTCGCGCTCGCGTCCCCTCCCTCCTGCTTTGCATTTCCCACCTTCCATTCCCTTGGCCCCTCTTTAAAAACCCCTCAGTATATCTGAGTCTTTGAGACGGCTTTAGTCTGGCCATTCTCTTTGAGGTTTTCTGGGCAGGTGAGTTCGCCTAACCTCGCTCTTCAGGTCACTGGTGTTCCTGAATGAAAGCTGACTTCCACTTTCACCCACATTTGACTTTCGAGTGGTTTGTTTTTGAAAGGGGGCAGGCAGTCGGACCTGTGCCCTGTTAAAAATGTTGGCGAGCTGACTCGGAAGCTGGGTACACTGGGTGGCCTAGCCCCTCCACTTCTGTGCGAGTGAGGCTGGGTTCACCTGTGGGAGCCAGCTGTCTGGGGTAGGTGAGCCCCGGGGTGGGATTTTTGGGACTTTCCCTGATTTCCAGCAGCAACCAACACTGATTCCCCACCTTTTGCTTGGAGAAGGAAGACACTGTTAGTGAGGGGCTGACAGGAGCTCTGAGCTCGTAAGTCCCTCCAGGAATCCTCTTCACTACACCATTTGTTTGTTAACGGTTCTGGTAATGAACCAGTCCCTAAAGGTTCCCCTTCACCATGAGCCAGAACGTGAGAGGCTGACTTAGTCGGGGGAATCCTGGACCCATGTGAGTCCTGGTGCTAGCCACTGTCAACTCACCAACCACACTCGCCAGACAAAACTTAAAGGAAAGGCTTTTTATTTCAGAAGACGTCAACAGGGCGACAGAGGGTAAAGTCCCGGCTGCCTTCCCAATCAGCTGAGGGCTGGGGTTTATACAGGTAAGTGCACCAGGTGAAACAGGTTGCTCTGAGAGATGTGCACAGGAAGGAAGATGTTTTCTCACCTGATCAGGTGACACAGGACGTCTGCTTTTGATACAATCTTAGTTAATCATTAAGGGTGAGCTCTGGAGGAAAAACATAGTTCTGCAGTGTATACGTGGGTGTGGAGGGTTTTCTACGTTTACAAATTTCCCTCTTTGGTTAGTAATTTCTGCAAACTTGGGTAAGGGACAGGGTCATAGATATCTTGTCTAGGTACCTCCTGCTGGACCAAGTCATTGAATTCTAAGAAATCCCCGTGTGGAATTTCTGAGCCTGCAAATGAATTACTTCAAGGGTTATTGTATATCCCAATAAACGTTGTCTTTCTTGTGCACTCACAGGCCCATGGCTATGCTTCCTAGCTACGAACACACACAAAACCTGAAGGAGAACACACAAGAGCGGTGCCTGAGGATGCTGTCTTTAAGGCCACTCTTTGTAGCCATGGATCCGTTATCATCAAGTCACGACGGGCCAATGGGGATCCTTCGCAGAACCCAGGAGTTGATTTTATAGTGATATCGTGTGGAATATCATCAGAGCTCGCATTATTTGAAAATTGTAGGATTTCATTTTCATCCAAAGGGGGTGTCCTTTAGTAGACGACAGACACACACGAGGAGGCTTAGCGTAGGGACCTACCTCAGTTGTGTCAACTGAACCTCACAAGCTCTTCAGGCATCCCAGTAAGGTTTACCCCACCTCTGTACACGCAAGTGGGTCATGATGCCCCAGAGCTCGCTGTGGTTTTAGAAGACATAGCCAACAGTGGGAGACATTACCAGGGTAGCCAGGGTCTGAAAGATGCATGCCAAGGAATTGTTTTTCCAGGACTAGCTAATCTGCAGGAAAAGAAATGCAATCATGTTGATCATATTCATGTAAATTTCAACTTTGAATCTGTAATGGGCTGGATGTCCCAGCCGCCTGGATCATATCTCTTCATTCGGGTATGATGTACCCAAGTTTTCAGTCCCTTCAGCTCTACTGCTGAATGGATGACAAGTAACACATCATAAGATCTGACCCCTCTTGGTTGCAGCTGTGAATCAGGGTGTTTTTCCCTCCAGGTCTTGAGCAGGACTTGGTCACCAGGTTTATGGCATGGAGAGGGACACTTGTCGGGTAAGCCAACCTGTGAGAAGCA